ATGTGTCTGGCATGAGTTTCAAGCCCCTGGTCTGAGACTCAAACCTTGGTCACCATGTGAGAGTTTAGCGCCTTAACCACCCACTATGACACTGATTGGCCCCTTAATTACCATTTCTTGATTGCTTGTGTGTGCCAGGTACTTAACAAAACTACCTCAATTAACTCTCACAATTACACAAAAGAGCAAATTCTTTCCATTTCAAAAGTGCTAATACTAGGATTTCTGATTCCAAAACACTTGCCCTCTAATGTTATATATAAATATCTATTTTTAAGTGACAGAGCAAAAGCAGGAAAAAGAGCGAGAATAGGAAAGATAAAGAGAAAGAGAGGGGGCCAGCAGGTGGAGTAGTGGTTGAGATGCTGGACTTCCATATGGTCAACAATAGTTCGAGACCCAGACCTGGCAGCTTGCATTCCCACTTTCTCTCTCTCTCTCTGGTCAAATTTTAAAATAACAATGATAATGAATAAAATTAAATAATTATTTTTTAAAAGAAAGAGTGATTGAGATGGGTATTTTTGACAGGGTCTTCACATCTTCCTCTCTTGGTCTATTAGCTAGAAACAAGGGATACACCACCGTGACAGCCTATTTAGGTTGGTCTGGAAACTGAACCCAGGTCTCCTATGTGGCCTCAGCCACTGAGCCTTGGTGCCCTCCCACCTGTACGACTGCGGCTAGGCCTTTACACTATACATTCAACAAATGAAACAAACGAACGAACAAACACAGATGATTTAAGCACGTCCCCTTCCCCAGTCTTAAGGAAAGACAGACCATCAAAAATATATATATATATTACTTATATACTTCTCTATCTCAAATCATTTTAAGCCAAATAGGTCTGGTGGCGATGTTCTTTAATACCTTTGGATTTACTAATTTAATCAATGTTGGCTAGGGAGTTCTACTACCTAGTCATTTTCTAAAAGACTTCGTAGACAATAATGCAAAGTCACTCTATAGTGAATAAGACCTCAGGTGGAGTACCTTAGAAAATTCTCAGGATACAACTGTTCTGTGTCTACGTTCATTACCTTAAGGATAATACCAGAAATTGAATTTAAGTAGACAAAGGCATTGGCTACCATTATAGCCAGTAAAATTACTATATTGATAGTGGAAAAAGCAAAGTATCCATTTCTTCATTCTTTTCCTATGACTAATTAAAGAATTTCTGTCAAAATTTTGTAACCTATTATACATAGGTAAGATCATTATTAGAATATTAGCATTTTTTCCCTTCTCTAATTCTATATGCAAACTACAGAGGCCCCAGTCTGCAGAAACTTCATTCATTTTAAACTACTTATAAAACAATAATATAAGTCTATTATATATACTAGAAACTTCTACTAAATGATGGGAAAAGTTCTAAGGTTCCAAATATCAAGAAGCTCTTGAAATTTACTTATTCCTCACCCCTTAAATCTTGACACAGGCAGTGTGCCAGCTGATTACAACAAAAGGATTCATGGCCAAATAATTTTACAGGTTAAAAAGATTCATTTACTGTAGGATTTCATATATTATATAAATTCCAACTCCGAGTCCCAGACCCAGAGGCTTGAAAAACACACCAGGCTGGGGCCGGCAAGTGGCATGGTGGTTAAAGGCACTGGACTCCCACATGGCCGACCATAGTTCAAGTCTCAGACCTGGTGGCTTGCTTTCTCACTTCCTTTCTCTCTCTCTCTCTGTGTGTGTCTCTCTGATCAAACTGGAAAACAATAATGATAATAATAATAAATAAAGTTAAAAAAAAAAGAAAAAGAAAAACACAGCAGGCACATGTACACCTGTGTCCAAAATCCCAAGGAAAACAGAAGAGAAGGGTTTGCGGCACAGCCACACTCCTGAAGAGTCATTGCTCACTTTCCCTTTCTGTCTGTTTCCAGGAGCATAGACACTCCACAAGAAAATTAAAAAAAAAAAAAAAAAAAAAAAATTAAAGGCAGAATATGGTATTTTAAATACAACATAGTTAAAATATGCACTGTCCCTCTCTTTCCAGTCTTTCCTCACTTACCCTTACTAGGCTGCTCCCACCTCTAACATAGCCATGTGACAAGATTTGTCTACTGGATTATGACCGGTAGGGACACATGCCACTTCCAAGCTATTGTTTTAGGAACTATGGTTCTACCATCACTCTGTTCCCCCACCACGATATTTATGCATTCCTTCAGCTTTGGTCCAGAAATAAACAAGGACACGGAGCAGAGTTAGAAGCAGACTCATCAGAGACATGAAATAAGTGAGAAATAAATTCTTATTGCCATGAGCCACAAGAATGAGAAACTCTTTTGATAATAAAATGGAACTTTGCCTAAGCTAACTGACAACATGTTCCTAGCTATAACATACCCTGACTTCCTTTTCCCCAGTAATATCTTCCAGGATTCAAGCTGGGTGCTGTGGCCCTGGCCTGCAGTCCAGTTACTCAGGAGGCTGAGGCAACAGGATGCAAATTTAAGGCTGGCCTGAGCAACACAGCATGACCTTTTCTTAAAAGCACCCCCCCAAAAAAAAATCTTAGAGGATTTTTCTCCCTGAAAATTATTCTTGGTTTTACATGAAATCTTTTCTGCCTTAGTTAACACTGTATTTAAAACGAGCACATATGTGAATTAAAGTACACAGCCTTAGCCATCTTCAATTAAACTTTCATCTTAAACTGAATTGGCAATGCAAATTTGTTAATTTCTGCTTATAGCCAGCAAACTATCTTATTGAAATAATCTGATTAACATTCAAAAAACATAGATCGATTGGCTACTCAGTCAATACTGTCATAGTAATGCTAGTTCACAATTTAGTTTTCTTTTCCTTTTCTTCTTTATTTAAGGTTTTTGCCATAGGATATGTGCACTAACCAGAGAGAGACAGAAATGAGAAGTCACCCCCAGAGGGAATGGCCACACCACAATGCCGTCTCTTCCATTCTCCTCTCAGGATTTCAGGTATGCATGTACATACTCCCAGTGTGATTTTCAAGCTTCTGGATACAACCATGGTTGGCCATGTGGGAGTCCAGTGCCTTAACCATCACACCATCTGCTGGCCACACAACTTAGCTTTCTGAATAAGTCACATAAGTGCCCATTTTTATCATTCTTTCTATGTATGTATTCATATTTAGCAAATTTAGAAAACTCTAACAAATTTAATTTTTTAAACCTTACCATATTCACCTTCCTTTAAGATTAGCAATTAGAAAATATCTGAAATTTCAGTATTCATTTTTGAATAGTCCATAATCTATTATGCTGACTCAGAAAATCATAATTAACTACATCCTGGACAGATTTAATAAACTAAAAAATAAAGACAAAATATTTTAATTTTAAATTCATTGGAAAGTTAAATTAAAAGAATAAGTTCTGGCCCAGCCTGTGGCACGGTGGTTAAGGCCCCCTGAATTCCATATAACTTACAACATGGCTTGGGTTCCGGATTGGGTGGCCTGAAATATACACCAGGCATGTGCATGTGTGCCCAAAATCCCACGAGGAGATTAGAGAAGGAACTGTGGCATGGCCATTGCCTTGGGGTTGCTTCTCATTTTTTTTTTCCCTCTCCAGTGAATGTGCATACCCAATAGCAAATTTTAAAGATAATTAAAAATAATTTTTTTTAATTCAAAATAGGAAACAGTAGATGACGTTAATGGTTACGGGACTCCCACATAGCCGACCACAGTTCAAGTCCAGGACCCAGTGGCTTGAAATTCACACTCGGCACATGTACATGCATACCCAAAATGCCAAGAGAAGAATGAAGGAGAAGGGATTGCAGCATGGGTATCCCCAGTCACCCCTGGGGGTGTGCTTTCTCATTTTCTCTTTCTCTGTCTGTCTCTGTCTCTCCAGTGAGCAGATGCTCCCTATAGCAAAAATCTCTCTTAAAAAGAAAATTTTAAATATTTTTTTATAACTTTTTAAAGAATTATTTCATTTAACTTTATTTATTTATTTATTCATTCATTCATTCCAATTTGACCAGAGAGAGAGAGAGAGAGAGGGAAAGTGAGAAAGCAAACCACTGGTCTAGGACACGAACTATAGTCGGCCAGGTGGGAGTCCGGCACACTTAACCACCATGCAATTTTTAAAATAAGCTTCTTCCCTGAAAATTTAAACTAAATAACATTTAGTACTAAATAATATTTGCTCATTTATATTTACATCAATTTCTTCAGTCTTATAAATTATCAGTTCACCATAAAGCAATCAGACATCTGTAAAGCAACCACATGTTTTATTCCCAGACTGGGAAAATTCTGCATTTCAGTAATCAGTATTAAAACTAATTTTAAAATACAATAGCCATATTTTTTAAAGTTTTTTCTTTTTTTTCCCCCCAAAAGCAACAGCTTTGAAAATACCTTACGTATGAAAGAATAGTCACGGAATCTGTAAGTTTCAGAGTTTGCTGTATTTGTTACATTAACATATTTTAAAATTTCAATTTATTTAACAGCGTATCATTGTCATATTTAAAGTGGTTTCATGGTGCAGTTACACCTGCCCCTGTTATTTTTTAACAGGTAAGAAAAACTCTGAATGCTTTGGTACTGATTCATTTTTCAATTACGGCCAATAACAGTTTTTGTTTGTTTGTTTTTTAAAGGTAGCTTTTGGGGAACAGACCAGTTAATAATCATTTAAGTAGAGAACTTCTAAATATCCAGAACTTTAATAAATTGACTTTCATCAATAACACACTACAGTGAAGAAACCAATCCAATAAGTTTTAAATCATTCACTTTTAGAATCTCATGATTTTAAAAGAAAACTTACTTGAAGATGGAGACTTAAATGTTCCTTTAAAAAATAATAGTAAATTGACAAGAAAACATATATAATTATCACACTTTCTCAATCAATACGGAAGGTGAATCCATCAGATGGGGAAACGTTGAGACCAGTTCTAACAGCACATGGCCCTCACTGCTCCTAGGTAAGTAAGATGCACCTCAGTGCAGCTCTTACCAGTCAAGTCAAGACTTTCCATTGTGATTTCAATAGAACATCAGAACTTCCAGCTTCTGTGATGCAGCAGGATTCTGTGAAAAACCCATAGCAAAGCAGTTAACATGGTGAGCCACCAAGGTTTTCAAACAAAGAGGACAGTCATTCTCCTTTAGCAAAATAATCTCCAAAGATAAATGAGTCAACAGCCAAACAAGCAAAATCTGGCAAAGATCCCTAGGCTTATGCTATTTAGAGGAAATGGTCTTAAGTGTTTCTGTCAACTTCATTTTAATAAAAGGTCAGTCAATAAAATTATTCAGTAGGAGGGCCAGCTGGGAGGTTCAGTAGGAAGCGCTGCTCGAAATGCTGGATCCACATGGAAAACTGCAGGGTCGGTTCCTGGTTGACCTGTACACACAGGTGCGGGCACCCTTCATCCTGTTGCTGCAATGGATGCAGGAGGGATGATGGATCACAGCGTGAGACCCCATCAAGTCTGTCTGTCTCCCTCTCAAGAACTAAATACCTTTTTAAAAATTTGTCAATGGTGGAAACAGCAGATGGTGTAATGGTTACATTGCTGGACTCCCGCATACTAGACCAGGTGACTTAAACTCACACAGGGTGCGTATGCATGCATGCCCAAAATCTCGAGAGGAGAGTAGAGGACAAAGGATTGCAGCATAGTCATTCCCCCAGGCAGTGATTTCTCATATCCTGTTTCTCTGTCTATCTGGAGAGCACATGCACTCTATAGCAAAAATGTCTCTCGAAAAAAAAATAGAAAAAAATTATCCAATGGGAATTTTGAGATTATGGTTACATAGATTAAGAATTATAACCAATCACATAAAAAAGTAAAAAAAGATTAAAAAATAAAGAATGACAGCTAATCACTGCTGAGCCTTTTGGCTAAAATCAAAGGTGGAATCACTGGCAAACTCTTCAAAAAATACAGGGTAAACTGACATCCTAACTAAATTCAAATTTACAAACAAATAAGAAAGCAGCTGGGGACAAGAGGGCCTAGTTGAAGTAAACTATAACATAAAATTATATTAAATATAAAAGATAAAGTAAATGTAAGAACCAAGATCAAAACTATATGAGTTAAATCAAACATTTTACATTAATAACACTGCAAATATAAATATATCCTTATATAATAATTTATAAAAATTTAAATGTTATTTCCATTTCACTGTGAGACACATTTAGTTTCTAGGTTGCTTTAGTGATAATACTAAGTCAACACGCACCTAAAAGACACAATTTCCTGCCTCTGGCCAATTCTGAAAATATATTTCTTTATAATCTGTAATCTATACATTGTAGAAATTGGGTATCACTTACTGGCTTACGGCTCTATCAATACTATCAGTCATTTTATGGCTTTGCTAGAATTGTTTTTTGCTAATCAGCCACTGTATAGAAGAACTGGCTCTTCACATTAAATATCAAAAATGTGTAATGATTCATCTGAGTAATCCTATCTACAATTAGATGATTCAGTTGTCACCCAGTGTTATTAACAAAAACAATAGATAAAAAGAATGAATAAAATATTTAAGTGGTCTCATGTGGCTTCACACAAGATACGACTCATTCACGCATAGTTTGTAAAACAAGTGTATGGATGAAAGAAAAAATTCAGATCTTTGAAAAAAACTACAAAGGACCCATGAATATTTTCAAATTAAATTCCTCTGCTTTTACTCTATTTTATGAAAAGAGCATGTAAACACTGATAAAAATAAATCATACAGAGGTCTACTCTTTTTTAAAAAATAATTATTTATTTTATTTAATTTATTCATTCATTTATCTTAATTTGACTATAAACAGACACACACAGAGAGAGAGAGAGAGAGAGAGAGAGAGAGAGAGGAAAAGGGAGAAAGCAAGTCACCATGTCTGGCACTCAAACCGTGGTTAACCATGTGGGAGTGTCCAGCGCCTTAACCACCATGCCACCTACTGGCCCGCAGAAGTCCACTCTTAATTATAAAATAGGTAAGTGATCTTGAAAATACTCAAGAAAATCTTATATATGGTCCCATATTCACATACTTTTTCTTCATGTAAAGCAACTATACAAAGGAATCATTAAAATATTATAAATGAGTAAAAGTCATGAACTAAAAACAGTAACTATATGTAATATCCAAGTAAATAAATTAGTAAAAAATAATAAGCATCATTTCTACTGTCACATTGGGAGAGGAACCATTAATTTTGACAGTGTGCGTTAAATGCTTATTTTAGTTTAAAAATTTGTTTACTCCTCAACCTAAGAATTGAGCACAAGTTACAAGAGAAATAAAATATGCTAGTACATCCTACACACAGAAGTTCTTTTAGAAGCCCAGTGATAAAATCTTAAATCATCTTCAGGTACCTTTTTAAATGTATTTCTTCTTATAACTGGATCTATACCAACAATGCACTATAGTTACCACCTCATTTTGGCTGCTGTTCAGTAATGTATTACTTGTGATGTAGCGGACTATGACTACACTAGGAAATGAGGAGAGAGGCGACTGGCCATGTGATAGCCAACATGGGTTTTTAAGTCTCTCTTAAAATATCAACAACAACAAAATCATGTTAGACATAAGAAGCCAGGGAATCAGTCACAGACCAGAGGTCAGTTTCAGGAATGAAGATTCTGCCTGAGACAGACTCCTTGGAGTTCTCCGAGAGCCGAACTAAGGAGACTCCAGATTTTATCTGGCTAATAGAAATGCCCACACTGAGTAACTTCAGAAAAGAAGTTTCAGCATAAACTGTGAGGCATTTAAATTACAAGTATTTTATTGAGTATCCTGATTTAATGAAAGTGTGTCATCATGAGTGGTGTCAGGGCAGGTAGGCTGGCCAAACATGCCCTGAGACCACACGCCAGCTAGATTTTCATCAGAGTCACCCAGTGTTCATATGTGTTCTCTGGTCTCACTCTGGCTCCTTCTCAGCCTCTGCACACTCCCACAGTGTCTTAGATTCCGAGCTCCCCACGATGAACTCCTACTGACCCATGAACCTCCCTTTCCCTTGACAAGGGCTCTGCTTCTCACCGAAGACGTGGCCTCCCACAGTCCTAGACTGACCTGACACAGCTCAGGATTCCCTCTCAGAAACCATCAGGGCAAATGGACAACCATCTATTATTTGCTTCCTACCACAAATAGGGCATCTGACTCGGCATTTCAAAAACCTATGCTAAAGATATGGTCTAAGCAAGCACTAGGATGTCCCAAAGCAACTGGCTTTCTCCCACAGCAAACATCCCCTCTAGGGGTGCTGTGTTTTGAAAGTTTATTAAACTAATAGGGTGAGGTACCCTTCTTACAATGAATGTTAATGTCTAGCACAACATTCAAAGGCACGTGGGGAAAAAAATCCCCTTCTATGCCAACTGTGTTTTGTACTTGATGTCACTACAACCTAGTTAGTGCAGAGGGGCCCCAAGGTAACCGTGCTTCCACTTACATGGAAGACTATTTCATCCTCATGAACGCCTGCTTTTCTGATGTTTTCATTAGTTCTCCAGGTAACAGCGTAAGCTTCAACTAACGCATTTTCATACATACCCTTAATTCAATCAAGCTCAGTAAAAGTCATGCTAGACTGCAATCATCTGCTAAGGAACAACTACATTCAAAAAAAAAAAAAAAAAAAGACTTTGCTGGGCATGATACAAACATAGTAGAGATGCCTCTCCTCTCCAATTACGGAGCAAGAACAATAAACATAGCCAAAGTGCTAAAGAAATCAATTTTTTCCTCATCTTCTTGAAAACAGACTACTCATGCCTGCTTTTCACCTGACAAAACAAAACAAAAACAAAAATGGGTAACCTAAGAAAGAAATTTTAAATTATTGTTTCAATTATGTTTATGCTTTGAAATAGGCTGAATTTCTAATCTAAGAGTCAGCATGATCTCTTAGGGCCAGACCAAATCTAGGTCACAAATCAGAAATTCTGATATCAACTAGTCCACTAAATTTTCCATGAACCTCCTCTCTTTACCCAACAACATTGTCCCATCATCAATGCACAATGCAGGTTTTCTTAAAATTTCTTTCCTGTTTTAAAACTATGATTTACATGAATAGAATTCTTAACTTTTCCTCAACTCACTCTTTTATATGTTTGTAAGTAAACTTATACACAAACTTCAGACTTTTCCACATAATATGACCATCATGTTGGTAGTCAAAAAATTTGTGATGATTTAATAAAGTCTCCCCTAACTTGTGCATGCATCAGGTTTCCCTCTTCTATAAATTGTTCTAATGTGCTTGACAGTGGCCTCTGGCATATTTTATATATATATATATATATATATATATATATATATATATATATATACACACACA